TAAATTATTGATAATACAAGACGCAGAAGTAAAAGTAAAAGATATTCTTTGCAGAACTTTGTTCTGAAAAAGTTTCGGTACGAGAAAAATATTTGATATCCCGGCTTTGAACATCAGCCTGACCTATTTGTCAATTATGGAGCTTTTTCATATCAATTCATTCAATATCGACAATTGTTGCGGAAAATAAAAATGGGCTTTTACCTTCTTTTCTCGTTTAAATGCATATCATTTTCAAGAGTAGAATACGGCTAAAATTAGATCCAGAGTTTATTTAATTCAACTAAATACTGATTTATTTAATTTACCAAAACAAGTGATTAATAAAATAATTACTAAATAATATAATTAATAATTAAACATTTGACATAAATAAAGCGGTAGAATTTTACCTCTCTCTGATTAAACTAATTCAAAAATAAATGAAGAGCTGTAGAAAATAAATTAATTTCCACATAAAGCATTTTGTGGAGAACATTTCAGAACATTTCAGCAATAATATGGAATAAAATTTATCAAATTAATTACTGTTCCTCTTAGTCGTAAATATTTAACATAGTTTTAATTATTATTCTCGAAACGCAAGAAATAGAGAGTGTTAGAAAGAAAGAAGTTTCTTACTAACAATAAGTTATATGAAGTTCATTAAAATTTGTTGTCTTTCGATATTTTCGTATTATAGGGAGAAAAGTTTACCATAAATTCATTTATTATTCTTGTCTAAAAGATTCGCGAATGCATAATTCAGTATTAATTATTATCTATTTTAAGCGCGGAAGATAGAAATTTCTTGCCAAGCCATATTAAGTTCATTAAAATTTGTTGCTTTTCGATATTTTCGAATTACGGAAAAGAAAGTTTACTGCAAATATAAATATTTGTCATTCCTATCTGAGAAACTCGCGAATGCATAATTCAGCGTTAATTATTGTCTCTTTTATGTGAAAACAGATAGAAGTTTCTTGCTAAGTCGTATTAAGCTCACGACCGATCACAGCGCAGTAGCACGTAGACTTCTCCTACTTTTCGATTAGTTTGTATCGCGTATTGCGCCGAATTAATTATATTGCGCCCAATTGAAATCGGTAACAAGTAGTGATGGGATTCAAATTGTCTCAAGCCATTTTGAATTAAAGGCTGAAAAATCAAGAAGTCTCAAAGCATCTTGCAAGACTTATGATCGAAAGTTTCGAAAATTCTTGAATGCTATAATACATGTGTGTGTGTGTGTGTGTGTGCGTGTGCGTGTGTTTGTAAGTGTATATTATTGTTATATTATTCAAAATATTTAACACATTCAAGCCATTCAAGACTTTCAAGACTTTTCTAATCATAATAGTCTTTTGATTTTTGATCATTCTTGAATTGCTTAGAAATTTGCAAGTAAGAAGCTTGAAATCCCATTATTAGTAACAAGCAAGTGGTATCCAATCCTTTCGATAGCCCCGGGAAAAGCGATTTCGCAGTGCCGATAGCTTATGCTCCAATTTACATTTCATATTCCTCGATATAATATGGATGCTTTAATAATATAAGTGAGAGAGATAATTTCGACCGATACGTTATCGGCGTTTCGCGGGGCTCGTTATTTTTCTTATTTATTTTAAACTTTACATTATAGTATATAATACACAAACGTGAAATTAAGAACGGTAAAAACAATGAGCAGAAAAGAACATTTTTAAAATCGACAAGTATCACTTTTGAGATATAAAAATTGAGATTTCCTAAAAATTAATATTTTATACAATTTTGTTATATGTATCGATTATATAATATTTTTATTTTTTATTTTTTTATATCTTATTACTTTTTTTTTAAAGAGTCAATTTTTCAAATTAAACTATGATTCTTTAATACAAGCTACAGATTTTGAAATACTTTTCCCAAAATGCTATTTATTTTTTTAGATTAAGCTCCTTGAAATCATCACTTACGATTTTCCATTCCGCAGATCTCGTATGCCTCCAATTTTTACGCGACTGTCGGCTATCGATGGACCGATAGATTGTTTAAAGCAATCAGGTAAATTTACAGTGCTGCTGTTACAGTGTACTACTCACACGACCTGCTTCGAACGGTTCAATGTTATCCAAAGCGTTTTAGTGTGATTGGATGCTGCCGACTGGCGAGAAACCGAACTCGACGATCAAGGAAACGCGCATTGCAGCGAACGGCGATGCAAAGCGATTTCGAAACCGAGATGAGCACGGAGAGAAGGTAGAGCGATTAGAAAGGGATGCTTGACTAGACACGATTCTCAGGACGCAACATTATTCTCTTTCAATCGGGCGAGATTTGAGTATTTCAAGAATGCTATAAGAAATTCGAGAGATTATCCCGGCAATAATTTTCTTTCACACTTTTGAGAAATTGAAATCTCAGGTTTTTACTGAGAGTTACAACAATATTCATTCTAATATTTGAATGCAAATACTATTTTTCTTTAATAAAATAACTCATTGGATAATAATAAAATAATAGTTCTGAATAATGATAAAACGTTTCACCGCATGTTTTTATCCAAATACTATTCTCAATATTTTGTAACAAAACAATGTTATATTCTGCTGCAATTTTAACAACTAATCTTGAAAATTTTGGGTATTTAAGATAATTTTAATTATAAAGTGTATGAATAGAAGAATATTACATCTTTAATAAATATACAAAGAACCACGATCTGCGTGTATTTTAGTCCAGTTGATAAGCAAACTCACGCGTTTATTTTCGGACTAACATAATAATCGTTAATTGCGCAAACTTTGTAAATGACTCAAAAGTTGTAATGGTGGTTAGTTTCGAGCCATTATGCGACCAGTACGTGGTAGCATTAGAAAAACTTTCGGATTAAAGCTTCTACGCAACCATGATTTTAAACGACCGACGTATTATTTTCTTTTAAAGCCGATAAAACTCAAAAATTACAGTTAAACTTTAAAACCATTAAAACAACCAAAAATACCATTAAATCAATTAGCTCGGAATTATATTTAAATTATATTAAAAAATTAAAACATAATTGGTTGAGCCAAAAAGCCAAGTGAAACAAATTTTAAGCTAATAAAATATATGTAATTTGATTTTATATTATTTTAACAAAATTATTTATTCGAAACTGACAAATTTTTTCATCAATTTTGTTCGATACTTGAGCAATAAAGCGCTAGTATTACTTTTTTTAATCAAACCGATTTCCTTTTGCTGCATGCATTTGGAAAATGTAACACTAAAAAAAATAATGGCAGCAATAAATACATTTTTATTCATTTATTGCGAAATCTACTATTACGTCGTGAAAAACCTTCCGTGACTTTTCAAGGACATTTGAACTTAAGAAAAAAAATGTTAGCTGAAAATATGGACACGGCGAGATATGATTCCGTCGGGAATCCGCGAGTAATCTCACAGACAGCACGGTGCAAAAGTCAATGACGAGCATCCTAGGAAGAGAGAGCAGCCACTTTAAGTCGGCGCAAACCCGATCGATTGGCAATTTCGCGGGAAGGGAAGAACGCGAGGAGCTGCTTTTATTTTGTTCGACAAGCGAAACGACTCTTGCTCGCTCTTGTAAACGGATTGGCTTCCTCCCCAGAATGATAAAATGTGCGCCGCCGATATCTGTAATTGCTCCTCCTTCGAAGCTGCGAATGAATAGCAAAGGGAAACTCTCGTGTACGCACGAGTATATGGATGTATATGTGTTGCATATTTTATAAATCAACTCCGCAAAAATATATTCACCAAATTAACTAAGCCGAACAATTGATTAACCAAATAGATTTTTTTAAAGAGCTATTAATGCAATAAATACAAAAATATCGTCTTTGAATTTAATTTCTCAATTTCCATCCCTAAAAGATGCGATCGTCCCAGGTATCTCGTCGCGAAATATCAGTCTTTGCGACGGAACTCGCGACTGTATAAATGAAGATCCTTGAGCCCAGAGGCAAATAGCGCGACTTAAAGTTTCGTAAGAGCCAAAGTTCGTTTTAATGTCGCTACAACTTTCGCTCGCGTGAATTTGCACGCCGACGCGATTCGCACGTAACCATTTCCGCTTCTCTTTCGCGAATTTCTAATTCCGGTTTAATGGCAAATATCTGGGCATACTTTGCCCCAATTGCATCAGTTTATGGTTGTCGCAGCGTGGTTGCGCCGACACTGAGCGTAGTTTTCTCGACAACGTGTCATCGTGTTGCTCTCCCGCATGAGTTGTCGCGGTTAAACCGTTGACAACAATTTAATCCATTATGAGATGAAATCGGGGCAGCCGGGCAATTATAATCCTACTGTGCAATTAATTTTCCCTTAGCATTGTTTGATTCACCCGAGCGTTTCATCTCAAATTTGGAAACCATCCAAGGCGGTTGAGAAGATAATCGTTGGCTTTAAGAGATAATTGCCTACCATTCATTAGATAATGAAGACAAAACTTAAAAAACTCGTCTCCATACATAAAATATCCTCAGTTTTTAATTTCAATTTTTATCTATATATTCATCAATTCGTAAACTTGAAAAAAATTATAATTTATACCTTAAATAACTTTTTTTCTTTTTAATAGATTATAAATTTGTAAGGAGAGCAATTGATAATTTTGTTATTATAATGCAGGAAGAGGAAAATGTCTTGTGTCAATGATAAAAGCGCGAATGCAATCGCAAACAAGAGAACATCAGAAATTTGCTAATCAGTCTAATTGCGGTAGTAATGTATGGAATGCGTTTGGTATCTCGCGGGAAATTCATCAACGTGGACCGCATCGCGTTTCGGATCGGATAGGCGAACTCGGAACTTTGTCGACACGATTCACCGTGGGATGTATTGACAGTAAGTGGAAACAAAACACAATTATACCAAAATGTGGTTGAAATAATTTCGATTTCACGTTTCTTTAGTAGAGAGTTAAAAGTAAAAAGCGGCCAAATATTTTGAAAACAACGCACGCACAGAATCGCGTCGACAAATCGAGTGGGGCAGTAATGGCAAGGTTTTACCCATACTGATGCCAGAGCTGGACGGATCCTCGTTCTTGGCGCCCCAGCTCCCAGCCAGGTTGAGTGCTAGCAGCGGCCGCTCCTTCAGCAGCTCGGCCACCGAGGCTAGGCCCTCGCATCCACAGCCTAAATGGGGCAAGTGCAGCGCCTGCACTTGAATGCAGCCGCGTAGAGCTTCGCAGACCCGGGATACTTGCTCGCCGGACAGATTCATGTCGAGCACCAGACGCGACAGGCTGCCGGAGGCGTGACTCAAGCCGCGACAAAGAGCGTTCACCACGCACTCCAGTCTGAAATCAATTGTGTTAACGCCGGCGTTAATAAGGTGCTGCCTTAGCGCCGCTTTATCAGTAATATTAAAATAATTGCATATGAATGTTAATAAAAAATTAAGATAAAAACTGTAAAATCAAATTGTGATTCGAAAATTCTAAATAGCTACAAACAGTGACAATATTCTGCATTCGTTTTCCTTTTACATTCTGTATTTCAGTTATTTATTTCCCTTTCTCGTGTTTTAAGTTGAGTTAATTGAAATAAAATATATTTTAGATATTTAAAAGTTTTCTAAAGCTATAAAGGAGAAAAAAATATACATTTTAAAGTAATGTTAAAAAATGATTTCTAGTACGCTTTCGATAATTTTGTTGTCAAATACTCGTACATACATATTTTTAGAATTTGTGGCAGATTAATTAATAATCTAATAATAAATTACAATCGTTTTTGGATTAAACTTCATACAGATTATGATGATCGCGTCAGTTAGCTCGGCCAGTGCGGTTAATGTTATAACCGCATACGTGCACTTGAGTTTGAATTATGTTAAATGGGATGCAAAGTGGGAATTTCAATCGACGTTACGTTGCGCCGTTACGTACCGACAAGTTGGAAAAACTGCAACGAAACAGGCGTGTGTAAGCGGCGCGAAAGATGCATTTTCGGAACTTGAATTTTACGTTATACACGCGATACAGTTCCGGGTGTAACCGCATTCGGATGCGACCGATGTAAATTCGGTCGGCGACGAGTTAGCGGCGCGGAAGTTCGACGCGGACTCGTCGGGTGTTATATTTATGCATGCGTAATGCGCATTTCACGCTGTCTATTCGCGGCGTTGTTCCTCTGGCGGATCTCGGCGAACGCCTGGAGCAGATACGCATTATGCAAAGTCTCGGCGCGCGCTTCTCCGGGGAATGGTAAGAGCCTGGATTTTCTCGCGTGAGATGCTAACAACGGAAGCGGGAGAATGTTTGCGCATTGCATTGCGCACTGGTTATTCGAAAATTGGCCTAAGTCAATGGCCTAACTAACGTTGAGAATCTCTCATTTTCCTTCTCTCCATCTCTCTCGCTTCCATTCGCAAAAGAATTTGAAAGGAAAAAATGTAGCTATATGATGTAAATGTCAATAAATATTAAAATAAAAACTATTAAGACTTATTATACAAAATTGTGATTCACAAAACGATAAATGATCGATAGCAAAATTTGACATATTTCTTCCTTTTTTATTTTCTCTGCTTTTCTATCTTTCTTTTTTTCTTTTATATTTATTTTCTTTTGCTCTCGTTCTAATTTTCTTTTTTCTTATTCGCTTTTTTTTATATTTTTCTGTGCTTTTTTATTATTCTTCTTATGTTCTTCTTTTCTACCATAATTTTCTTTTTTCTCTCATTTCTTTTTTAGCTAGTTATACTACTGCGGTCAAAGCTTCCATACGAAATTGGCCGTTCCGAATTTGAAACGTGAACAAGAAAATTGCGGCTAAAGCGCAACTCGCAATTTGGCATGAAAAGCGCGGAAGTTGCAGCTAAGTGCAATTGTAGAAACGGCAGGCAAGATTCTTGTAATCGTAATATTAATTGGGCACTCGCTCTGTTTTTTCAACGTTAAAAAGTACACGAAAAGAATTCATATTTGGAAGCTGTTTTATAGCGAAGGTGATAACCTGCCGCTCCCGCGCGAAATAGAAAATTCAGACCCGAGAATTCTCATGATGCAACTTAGCTACTTTGCATGGTAATCACTTTCAAACACGCGATAAAATATCGTACGGGCTTCAGAAATTTCATACAAGTTGTCCGTTTTCCGACAGTGTTTGTTCAAGTAAAGTTGGGAGATCTTTTAATTTAATAATTCTACAACAACAAAAAACAATAAAAAATTTCTATTAAAATAAATTGTATTCTAAAATTTCTCTATGTAAAAAGATAACTAGTTCGAAAAATCGAAAGCAATCGTTATTAAAAAAAATATCATAATTTGCTCGTACAACAAATCATTTTCCGAATAATTATTCTAAAAGAATAAATTGCTTATCGTTTATATTACAGATATTTTTTTATTATTTTAATTAAATAAGTAACCTTCCGCATTTGAAAGGAAAATTCCTCAACATTTTTAAAATACAAAAAAATTTTATAAAAATTCGCCGATGTAAATTATGAATGATATAAAAAAATATTCTCGTTGAGATATGACGATATTGATCCGTATCGTGCCTCATTATAGCTTTTATGTTACAATATCCGATAACTTCGGCAATATCAAAGAGTAAACTCTTCACGAATATTCGAGTCGACGAGTATTTTTTTTCTCCTGTCGTTCAAATAGACGAAGATAGACAGAGTCTATCCTCGAAGCGTGGCGCGTCAGACACAAAAGTGGCGGCGTTATGGAAAGACGATAGAATGAAGCGTAAAGTGCGACCGGGGTTGGCGAGGCGGGGGCGAGGACTGAAACAAGGAGAACGTCTCGATGCGAAACAATGAGCTGCCGGTCGTATCGTCGAGAGAGGAGCTTTCCGCTCCGAGGCAAATGGCAGTTAGGTGTTCGTCCCCTTTTATTCCTCTGCCGCGCAGTGCATCGCGAGGAAAAGGTGCCGCTCTTGCGGAGCTTCAAGGGCTGCGTGAGAGAAGGGTTGAAAATTCGCACTGGCAGAGAAAACCGGTGACGAACAGTAGAATGGACAATTGTCCAATTATGCGAATAATATCGCGTTTAACAAGATAAGACGCAGAGAAAAATCTATATTTTGCAGATATTCGTCGAAATATTGTTCTTTCGTTTGATTTGTAAAACACGAATCGAGCTATGGAACCAACGTTGTTTGGAAATGATTTTGGATTCGAGCGTTTATTTTCGAAACGCTTCAGTTCAACAAATATAGCTTGGTCCATTGGCTCGGAATATGTTTGCATTTACTGCGTCATCGAGCTTTGCTCGTACGAGAGAAAGCAGCGGGTAAAGAATAAAAGCGCGATATACACAACGGTAGAAAGAAAGTCTCCGTGGGAGAGCTCGAGGCAGCCAAAAGGTAAAATCAAAGAAGGCAGAACGGAGAGATTCAATAAGAGAACGCGCGTGAAAGCAACGAGAAAAGGAGGTGGCGCGAATCCGGTCGCGGGTTAAAGCTCGCAACGCGTCTTGTCTAGTTTTCTTTAATTTTCCGTCGCGACTCTCTCCCTCTTTCTCTTCTTTCCTTTGTCTCTATTTCCTTGAGTTTTTTTTTCTCTTGAGCATATATAGTCACCTGCACTCTCCGCAGAGTACACTCTCATTGTTATGTGCCGTTCGCGCTCGTAACAGTCTGCCTTGTCGAAAAAACGGACGTTCGCGTTACGGAATATATTATCGAGAAAGACGATGTGACGTCTCTAGACATAATAAAAAAAATTCCCCGATAAGGATAAAAAGGCACTCGTCACCTTTTGACCCCAAGAATGAATGAGATTGAATTTTTTCCCCCAAAAAAGGGAGAAAACGTTTTGTCTAGTTCGCAAAAATTGAAATTGTTCACAGGAAGATCTTCCCTGAACCTTGTGTCATCAAATAATAAGATTTATTAACGGTAAAAGCACTAGGCGATATAATTAAATACATTACATAAATTTATGTCAAATGTAAAAAAAATAAAGATGTAAAAAGATTTGAAATAAAAGAGATAAAATAAAAAACTAGTTTAAAGAGAAACAAATTTGGAAAAAGATAAAACAGTGATGAGCAGATTCTATTTGAAGAATTAATATACGACACTTCGATTAATTCTCCGAAGAATTTCGGAAGAGTCGTACATGTGATAAAAATCGTGACAATATATTGTAGAAGCGAACGCGGCGATTCGGATTTCATATGTCTGCTCCATTTCGAATTCGAGGTCGGCGCGACGGCAAGTTCATCGGTAAATCGCGGAAAGTTCATGGACTCGTCTGCGGAGAAATACTTTCTCCGTTTCCTCGGGGACACGGGCGCGGAAAGGGAGAGTAGGACGTCTCGATGGAATCGAAAAATATAAAGCCTGAAATAGAGGCAAACGGCGCTCGGCAAGGACGCGCGTGAAACGGTGAAGCAAGCAAAGTTGGCGTTAAGGAGTGTGAGCGAGGAATTAAAATTCCATCGCGAGGAAAACAGCGAAAGCGCAAAGGCGAGAGAAGCTCGCTTCTCGCATCTCTAGAAGATCTCTTCAAGGGTTGTCTTCAAAGGCGTTTTTGCATATGTATCACGTATGTATAATCGCATATCTGTCCGCTGTGTGTGTACGTAAATATGTAGAACAGTTTTATTATACTCAGTGAATTAGCAGGAAAAATGCATGAGTATGTAAATTAGAAAGAATTAATATATACAAAGCTACGTTTATACCGTACGGTAAACACGTAATCTAATTATTATTGTAATATAAACAGCACTCTCGTCACATATAAAATATGAAAAAATGAGTAGTTTTACTGTATGAAATCTTTAATTATTTTTTAATTATTCTTTAATAACAGAAAGAAATTAATAAACGCGGTTGTGATATTTTTCACTCTAATTTAAAGAAAAGATCGATAGCAGCCATATTTGCCGTTTATAAAGTATGAGAAAATTAGTAGTGTAAATGTCATATTATCATACTAAATCTTAAATTGGTTTTTCAATTATCATTCTTTAGTAATAGAGATAAATTAATAAATGTGGTTGCTATATTTTTTATTCTAATCTACAGAAAAGATTGGCGGTAATATCTTAACCAATTTTTTTCATAGTACCGCAGTCGTGGCTGCCACAACCCTCATTTTGTGGCCATTACTGAGCTCTTCCACAAAACCACAAGTCAAAGTGGTTTTTCACGACAAAACCTTTCCTGTGTGAGCGAGCCACGCGCGACTATGCAAATGTATATTCGTCCAGCTCTCCTAAAGTAAACACGTTTTTTCCACGTCTGCCATTTCTCCGCCCTTCCTTCAAGCGAAGACAAATATCCACACGATGGACCGTTTCATCGCCTTTCGCCGCGCGACAAAACAAATTTCTCAGTTCTGACGTTTGCGTGAGAATCGCGCGAGCCCGATGGAAAATTTGGAGGATGTACGACGGGTTTAACGATAAATCCCGATGATTTATGCTGTGTACAGTAGCGATCAAAATTTCAGAATATTCATGTATACTATCAATTCACGATAAGACAGTTTGGACAGATTATCCACGACATTAATAAGAATTATAGAATAATACACATTAATTCATAAATTTATAAAAATTTACAATTAGCACTTTGCAATAATTCGGCCCAGTTCCGTGAACCATATATTACTAGATTATATCTTAAAAATGAACAAATCTAAATCTCAATATAGATAAATTCATAATTAGATTAAATCTTATCCGTTAATTTTACTTTTTACGTTTTTTTCTCTCCTTTCTTTTATCTTGGCCTTTTATGTAGAAATCTAAATATAGATCTCTATGAGCTCCGCGTTTTTTGCGTTCCTTTTCGCAGCAGAGCAAATATCCTTGTCGACCGCTTGTCCTGGCTGACCTCATATACGATCGGACGAACAAGTTGGTTTTCCGTAATAACTCTTCGTCGTCGTCGAAGGCTATCGACGGCCCCGCATCGAAGCACAATAACGCCGACACGTTCGCCAGGCTCTTTATCCTTCCGGCTATTGAATCGTACAAGCGAGTCGATTCGATGACTCGATCCGGTAAAGTGGTCGGATGCTTTTCGACGCAAAAAATCGTCTTTACGATCCATTGTTAATTGAGAGTCTTGGTGAAACAATGGCGCGAAAATTTTACATGGAAATTTAACCGTCGTAAAGTAAAAAATTACTAACAAAAATAAGTAAAGACAGGAAACAAAATAATAAAAAATATATAAAAACCTAAGGAAACTGTTCGTGAGCGTAACATTCGCGTATCTCGACAACTTAATTATGTAATATTAAACCTGTCCGGCGCGTTATATATAGTTTATTCTCCTGAAACGCTTAGTTGAGCAATCTCGCAAGTTGTTTAGAACTTGCCACCCTCAGAGAGATTGCGACAAGTTGGTGGACAATGTGGAGCACGCCTCGGCAAGTAGATATATGTAGATACTCGTGAAACAACTCACCTATCGTGGGCCGCTTCCTCGAGACACGTGATGACGAGCTCGAAGTCGTTGAGCTTCTTCTTGCCGAGCACGCTCTTCAGGTGTCCGGCCAATCGCTGCGCTTCATCCGCTGGAAACTCCTGCCCCAGAAGAGACGTGATCCGGACGAGTTTGACACTTTCGTTGCCGGCGAGCGCGTCGAAGAAGTCGTCCAGATACCTTGGATCGGATCCTCTCTCCACCTGAAACACTACCTCAAGCGCTTCGAGCGTGCACGCTGCACTCTCGAGAATCCTAGCCCATCCTTCCAGTTCGAGGGGAGACGTGTGTACCAGCGGGGCCGGAGGCCGTTCATTGGGCGCGGGCCCGAAGCCGGAGCCCGCGCCGACCAGCCGGCAGACCGCCGAAATGTTGCCGTCGGATGCGCCGGCCGCTTTCAACAATGAGAATACAGCTCTGGGTGGCACCTCCAGCGGGCACAATTGGTTCAGAATTAGATGTGTCTTCGGGCCGAGCAGACCCGCCAAGTGGCCAATGATGCCTGGCGGCAGACCCTCCAACTCGCGGCGCAGAATGTTGGCGTACTGCGCCACTGAGGTGAGATAGTATGCAGCCAGGAACTCAGCCACTGCCATGTGAATAGGCGTGTAAAGATCGGGTTTACGTCGTTGACCGAATGTCAATCCGCGTGTCAAAAAACCAAGCCGGGTGACCTCGATGCCGCCACCGCGCGCTCTCAGCTCGGCTTCCGTGTAACAGCACCTGCTCTCTCGTAACGCAGCCAGAGACACCTTGCCGAAGTCCTCGAGACGCTTTCTGCAGTGACCCGGGATTTCCTCGTTATAAGGGATCGGCGGATCTAAGCTCCTCTTCACGATGCACTTTACTGCCGCTTGCACGAGAGCGCTTGTCTCGGTCGGCAGACTTCCGGAATCCTGATAAGGAAGATTATTGTACGTAGATTATGCTATACCAGGTGAGATTTTTTATCATACAGAATGACCATTGGAAAGTGTCTAAAGTAAATTGCTATAACTTTTCAATGAATAAAACAGAACAAAATAAATTAAACATCATTTTGTAGAGAAAACCCGTAAATTTTACTACATATAGTATGAAAGAAGTATATAATGATAATAAATAATTCAAATAAACATGATAAAAAATACTGCAAATCTGTCTGCGCCTAGTAGTAAATATTTTCGAAATGTTGTTTATCAACACAGAATTGGCACAGAAACTCAAAAGTTTTTGAAAACTGTTAAATACACTTTTTAACATGACTGGCGAAAATATCCTGAATGCATTTTCCATTACACTGTATTTACCATTTTAGCTTATCAGTGTTTTTCGACATCACTTTGAAAATGTTTATCACTGAGCGCCCAGATAAATTTGTAGCATTTTTTATGTTTATTTTAATTACTTAATTATTGTATATTTCTTTCATACTACATAAAATAAAAGTGATGGGTTTTCTCTACAAAATAACGTTTAATTCATTTCATTCTGTTTACTCGTTGCAAAGTAATAGCAATTTATTTTAGACACCTTTCCAATGGTCGGTTATCCTATATATTACTTTGGTTGAATAACTTTATGTATGTCATTGTAGATGCAGTGTTGTTAAATACAGTTTGCTATTAATTCGAATTTAGGTTAATGAATAATTGATCTAATATTCAAAGTATATAAACGAGCAGATTAATTAACAATTAATATAATATTTACAATATGACTGAATTTCTGTTCTACCAAATACGCTGCCAAATACGTGAAAACAAATTCTGCGCTGCGTATTCAATATAAACTTGCTCAACTTTGGTAAAATAATATTACTAATTATTCAACCATATAACAAACACCTTTTATAGATAAAATAAAAAACTCTTATAAATTTGTTTATAGAAATACAAATTTGCTGTTAAAAAAATAATTCATCATAAGCAAACAATTTTTCAGATATAAAATCAGTAAAAATTGTCTATATAGATAATTATAGTATTTTGATTGAGTAAATAAAATTCTTTTTTTTCAATAACCATTTCAAGAAATAAAAGCAGTTAACTAAAATTTTTCGTATTATAACTACGACCTTCGATAATTTAGTAAGCAACAAACACAGACGCTACATTCACGACAAGACAACTTACCTGATACAAGCAGCAAAGCATTATCCAGCCGAGCGGATGCTGGCCAAGCTGCCTGACAGACTGCGGTTGCACATTTAGCGCCTCAAGGAACTCGCAGGCTTTCTCGGCGATGTCGTTGTGAATGAAATAAGCCACGCAGAGCCGCTCTACATGCGGCCACTCGAGGCCGGCCAGATGAATCCTGCGCTGGACCAAAGGCGCGAGGACGGTCGAATTGCTGGGCGAGCATGTGACCAAAATTCTGGCGTCTGGAAATAGTCGACCCTCCAATAAATCGGCTGCATCGCCGAGCGACGCCCGGCCACCCACACACTCGTCGTAGCCGTCCAGAACGAAGAGCACGCGGTCTTCCATGAGGTGTAAAGTGCGCCACACCTGGGAGACCGCATCGCCCAATGCGGCCGTTCGCGGGAATAATTCTCGCGCCAGATAATTCAGGACGGGACTGCCGCGAAGCTCGCGCAGCGGCACGATAAAGGCCAGAGCGGGACCGTCGCTCTGAGTCGCCCATTGATGCAGTAGTCGTAGACAGAGTGTGGTCCGCCCGCTCCCGGGGCCACCTTCGACGGCGACGCGTCGCGGCGCCTCGGACACCGTGCCGTCGCTTAACTAAAAATTGTAATTTGTTTCCATGTGAGAATATAATATTAAAAACTAAAAAAAGACATAATATATATTTGACAAAAAATAGAAATCGCTGTGCTCATTAAAATTGTTATAAATCTAGATTTATATAAAACGCTTAAATCATGCATAATTTGTCAAAATTTTACGCAAAAAGTTATGTTTTTAAAGTTTTTAAAAATAATAAATACGCACGAACATTTTATGTGAAAAGTTAGAAAAAAGTGAACAAATAATCTCGTCCTAATTTATGTTTCATGTTAAAAAAACACGAGAGCAAAAATTTATTATGTATCACTCATGTTATATTAAAATATATGTCAAGTATTGTTGCGAAACAGCACGCGAAGTAAAGTGACTTTATCTACGTGGTTCGCCTGACAGAAGGCGAGAATAAAAAGGATAAATGCGATGAATTACGAACTGTTTCCTCGTATCGCGAAAACTCCTTCGTTCCTTCGAGAACAGGCGGTTTGCGGTGTGAAAATGCGGGAAAAAAGTTTAGTCACTTCGTGACCAGTTTCTCGGAGATACTTCTCGGTTTCTCGATCTCGGTCTCCGGCCAGCCAATTAGAACTTAAAACCTCTCCTGTGGACCATTAATCCCCTTCGATGGATCAGCCGTCGCGCGTTCGAGACTCAAGAACATTCCGGACATCTTATTGCCTGTTACACGCGAGGTCAGCATCCGATACTAGATCTTGCAATTTCACATTGCGATTGAGAACGTTATTTTAGTGTTAAAAGTGGACATTTTACGCAATCGTTCTCTCTCTTTTGTCAAATAGCAAATAACTAATAGCTTCGTTCAAAATAAAAATTTTTAAAATCAAAGTCCACTACAGCTTGACAATATAACAAATATTTTATCCGCCCCTTTAAATCTTTATTACAGACAGCTCTTTGCCTTCAACAATTTATATAACTTGTAAAATATTAATATTCCGACATATTCGTATAAATATCGATGTTGAATGTCGCGCAGAGTAACGCTATCTGTTTACTCTACCCATGACAATCCAGAACAATTCCTATACGAAACGGTTCTGTAAATATCAATGTAACAATCGTACAGGGAACAAAAATGTTTCCCAACGTTGCGGTTACAGTATTACGCAAACGATTAACAGGCGTGCGACGATTAAACGTAGCGTTTCTCTCTTGCATAGAGCAACACCGTTAACCTACTATTAGGACGCGCGTCACCGATGGAGTGGCATCGGCGGCGGCGGATCGGCAGTCGATATTGGCAAACAGTCTCGATTCCGTAATCGATAACCGTAATCCGTAGTACGCGGAACACACAGCGTTTGCCGGCCATTCACTCTGTCAGCAATAATCTATCCAGTCGCGCAGCAGTGTACACAATCTGTCGGCCAATGGATAACAGCGCGCGGCCATTATAACACCGTGCGATTGTGACATGCGAGGTCGTCGGGACGCTGCGGATGTAAAAGAGCGCGGTACGACTCTATTCGCCGGAAGAGTGTTTTCCGAGCAATTTCGAGCCTACGAAATATGCATCTATATATCTAGATTTTCATCGTATAAAGTGCGCGTGCACCAACTAGTGCATTCATACCGACACACCTGTGTTTGCACACTATGTGTGTACAGATATGTACATGTATATAGGACGTCCAAACATTACTGCTAGCTCTCCATTATACCAGATTCGTTGATCGATATGAACCGATTGTTTTATTTAAACGAAAATTTAATTCGCCACAGTTTCTCTGTCATCTTCAATTCCATAATATTGATATATTAAAAGGAATTAAAAGGAATTAAAATAACGTTAAATTCATTGTTTTCAATCAGCTTTCAATATTTTTTGCCGAGTCAAATAAAAAAAAAAAAAAAGAGTTCTGTTAAAGTTTTATGGAAACTAATCAATTCGTGTTGTCCAATGGAGTGAACGAAATGTCAATAACCCGACGCAGGGTTTTGACAAAACAACGTCGATGTATGAAAGATCGTAAGCTCGTTACCGGATAATCCGCCAGCGTATTCCTGCGTCACGCCGGATTTGTCTATCAATCCTTCGGGGCGTTTTTGTTTCAACCGTTTCCTGCCGCAACCAATCTTGATTGCCAGCGCGGAAAGGAAGAGAAGAGAATATATCGTGAAAACGACGGACAAACGTCGCTGAGAAACAGCCGCGTCGCAAAGATGCAGAGCGATAAATCGTCCTTCGTTTCCTGGGAGACTTAGAAAGTCTAGACGCCCGTGAATATTCCGCGATAAACTAAAGCGGGGAAGGATGCCGAAGAAGGACTACATTTGATATTGAATTATATGTGGGGAGTAAAGTGGATTATTTAAATATAATTTGACGAAGTACTCAATTTCCTGAAGAAGTAATATAAAAGCAATTTCTGGTAGATGAGATAATGTACTCCCCTAAATTTGAATGTAAACTGTAAATTATTTTCCTTTTTTCATATCGACACGCATTAACTATGGAGAATATTATATATATTGTATTATATAATATTATAATGTTATTATATATTATAATAATTATCATATAATTAATATATGCTATTGTGTGTGTGTGTGTGTGTGTGTAAATTTTTACATTATAACAACATTTACGCTACGCAATGCACGTTAGTGCTAATTATTTTGATAATTCACAACTAAATAGTTCAACAAACTTGTGGAGAGGGAAAAGTTAGAAACAGTAATTTCACGCGACAAATCTGCACGGAACGATCAGAACGTGGCGTTGATATTCATACGGCAGCGCGAGAGATATCGCGTTTCATCCCGGGAAATTTAAGGATACTGTGATACTGGTAGCACAGCATTTCACGGCGGCGATGTGTCTCTTCGCGAGCATATCGCGGAAAGAAACACGATGAGAAAGATCCGTTGGGGGGATATATCGTGCCAGCCAGAGCGCGTCCGCGTTTCCAGATATACGTCTCGCGTATCGGAAGCGGCAGGCAACGATTGAACGTAAATCGATCGCGGCGGTCGGTCCATCCTCTCTTCCCGATCTATCATCGATCCTCCCGCCGCAAACCGATGGCGACGAAATGTACAAACGCGGCATCCGACCACGTCCTTCCGTGGAAAAAGCGATCACTGCAATAATAAAATGCAGTCCTAGTAGCTTTTAGCTGCAACCGGTGCTCTCGACGCAATGTTTTCAATGTTTTCTTTTGGATTACGTGAAACTCATGAGAATGAAATCAAGCACTTTTCATTAATCTTCATATCGCGTAAAATTATTGATTATTCGCGTTTCTTTCAATTTACGCGATTAACTAGCTTCTTTTTTTAGCTTATACATTATTTTCGTATTGTATCTCGTGAGATAGACTTGCAATTTTATTATATAAACTTTAGAACGAGAAAGCGACCATTGGTGAATAGCAAACTGTGTTTTCAATTCTTTATTGCAATAAAATATAGCCTGAATAATAAAAAAAATAACTGCACATCGCCGTAAGCGGTCACCATAATTTTTTGCAGTTTACGAACGAGGATGGCGGCCGTATTTTTATTAAAAAACAAAGTCGCCGATACGCCGATTTTCCATATTTTTGTTGAAACCGTCGACGCTCGATTCGAGAGTCTTAATCGTTCGTTTTTTCAAGTATCGATCTCGATATTTTGATTCTGGCCACCCGATGGTCAGGCAACAAGATTTTTTTCACGAGTCATACCTAGTTTTCGCTGAACTCTGTTGGTTTTGTTCGCAATATACACTGACTCGCCGCCGGTTTCACCGATGAATTCTTTGACAAATTTGGTGGCAGATTTTACGGAACGAGTCAACCATATTCCTTTTTACATAGAAAAAAACGCAGGAAAAATATATACCATAACCACGAAAAAAAGGGAAAAAAACGTAAGTGCATATTTTAATCTTAAAATATAAAAAATACTTATAAAAAATAATATAAACATTATTTGCGACTAATTTAGGCTATATTTACTTATAAAGAAAATTATTTTGCCAATAAAAAAAGATACAAGTATTCTAAAATATATTGTATTCAAAATAAAAAAGCATAAATACTTATTATTTGTATTTTTAGAAACTCACTTTCTCAAAAAATATTTTATATGGTGAAATCAACATTTCTATGAAGGAATAAAAGAGATCCCATCAGAAGCTACTTTTGAAGCAAAAATGTAAAGAGCACTTTTTCCGGACTATTTTTGAATGAATAAAATATTATCTGTAAAAGCAGCTTTTCTGAAATTTTTACTTATTTTTAAACGTTTACGCGCAGCCTTTCTTTATATCGGCTCTTTAATTTGTGGTACGCGCCGGAGAATTGCGATCTATGCGACGGACGCGAGTGCATTTGGCAGTTCTAAGGGCGGTTCCTAAAAGTTGTCTGTTCGGCGCGCTCGTTTATTTTTGCGGTGGTAGCACGTTTTATGACGCGGATTCATCCCCATGCTGCGCGGGTGTGCATGTGGTTCCTTCCTTCCTACCCTACGGTTGATGTTCCGACAGTTACGAGGCTCATTTTTCGACGCGAGCGTTTCCGGGCGACGTGGCGCATTGTCTGCATTTCGTGGTTCTCTACGTTACGTGGTTGCGAGATATCGACCCAAATGACAGAGACAAGATTTTTCGAAAAAAGCACATCAACGACTAGGAGCTCTCGAAATGGCTGTTGAAGAATTAATTCGTCAAAAAATATTTTCTCGCATAAATATAATAATACATTGATTCTTTGCTTAATAATCAAGAAGCAAGTCATTGAGTAAAAGAATTATAGATTTGATTAATATTAATAAATAGGTTTAATAATTAAATAAGCCTAACTCTAACTCTATAATTGCATTTAAACGTACAATTATCATTTAAAATTAAATATTTTACTTCTTATATATTTATATTATTATTTTGTTAAGCGATTCCTTGCTATCGGCAATCAAATAGGCAATATCAAACGTTCCTGACAACCATTAAACAGCCATATATATAATATAATTATTAGAATATAAAATAATTATTACAATATTTATAATTCTCATACCTTTTAATCATTTATTGATTTTATTTTATGCAATAATTATATTTCTCATAATTAGTACACTCTGTGCTTTGTATCGTTACATTTCATTCGCGATTGCGACTCCTAGCTGCAGATTGGAACGCATTGATCTCAATGCTCAGCAAAAAGGAATAAAAGAACCGAGAACTTTGCTCTCACGCTCCGACAGAAGTTGTCGTCGCGGTTCGCTTTTCCATCTAACGACAATATGAGAAAGCGCGACCGAAGGTTTTCCCGGCAACGTTAATGAAGTCCAGCTCGGCTTATCACGGCGCGACGGAACAATGCTTTTTTTACGCAAAAGGACAAATATCTCGCAATGCCTCGGCCGAACGGCGTCTCGGTGCCGTGATCAAAACTTCTTTCTTTCCGAGAACCGAGGAGAAATTACAGCGACGATGATATCGCGGGATGCGAAAGACTGCTTGTGAGAATCGCGAAAGGAGTTAAAGCCACACCTCTGCCTTTCCCGCCCAACACTGTTCGTCGTGATTGATGTGCTACGTACATACACGTGTACTTCCGACTTGGATACATTCAGCAATTTGTCTAAATTGGAATTTATAACTTTGCCAGGATTTTAGAAGATTAAGCCTGCACCGGGCGACTTCACGATCGATCAATGCGGGATATCTCTCGTTCAAGCGGCAACGCGGAAATTCAACGAAAGTTGCGCGAATCAATCACAATTTACAATGTTTATATTATTCTTTTATAGTTGTAATCTAATACCCCGTTTTTGCTTAATAAAAAAAACGGATAAAACTGATTAAAGCAGCGAGCGAACTCGTACATCCGATTTAACGTTGTTATTCTTTCATCCGTGAAAATCGATTCGGCGCGATCCAATCAAAACAACTATCAGACGAACTACGACCGTAAATCGCGAGCGTGCCGCCGATTCAAGCGTCGCTGGATCTCACTCGCGCGGGGCCGCGTCGAGAGTGCGAGAGTACAAGAAGCAGTGCGGCCCTCGTACAGCCCGAAACTCGAGACAGCGAATTGCAGTGGGAAGGAAGTTTACGCAACTTTTTCACCCCCTCCCGTCGCTCTGGACTTCAGACGACACCAACTTGGCTTTCACATTCCAGCGGGAAGTTGCTTGGCGACGACGGCGACGGGCGGCGAGAACCGAGTTTTCGAGTCTTCGGCAGTCGCCGGAAGAAACTCCCCCGCGGCTTCTTTGGACGTCCGGAACTCGACTTGCCGCTCGCTCGCTCGCGCAATTACGTAGTCGATATCATGCAAATCCGCGCCCGGCACCGTGAGAGATCCCGTTCGCGCTTCGTGATAAAGCGCGCGACGCTCGCGACAACCACGTGGCGCGTGAGTCGGAAATCTGTTTGACGTTTTCAGTGTAGATCCGAAATTTTTATTCGCGTCTTAAATTATAATGTAATGCGATGCTTCTCAGCCTTTTTTATCTGCATTCTATATATCTCTATCCTTTCTGTACCTCAATATATTAGTTATTTACGGAACTAGAATAAAATTCAAATAAGCCACTGAGAAAACCTCCCAATTTGCATATCTTTTATACGAATTTTTCAAAATATAAAATAGCACATTAAAAATCGCATTCAAGTAAAAAATTTTTTATGCTTGTATTATGTAAAGAATTATAATGCATCGATGATTTTAAAACACATATTGTGTGTCTTCTTAATGTTTCTAATTCTAATTAATATTCCTATATCAAATTATTTTTTTTGTTTATTCTTAAAACATATTTTCTAAACATTCGCGTTCCCGGCGTAAGTATAGTGTTTAAATACTTACCCTGATAGGAGCGAAGATCTGGTCGGGCTTGATGTTCTCGAGGCGATGCTCCTGCTCACTCTTGTGCACTAGCTGCAGATGCGGCTGAAAGTGCGCCGGGCAGAGGGTGCCGAGCGGCAGCGGGGACGCCCATGGCGGTAAATGGGGTGGGTCACGAGTGCCCAGCTCCCTGTAGAAGGTCTTCAGGAATCTGCAACGATAAGGGGAAGGGTGGAATATTCAATCTGTAAGCCGTACATACAACGGAAATTCTTCGAGCAAAGTCAAAGAGCGAGAGTTCGGATTTACGGGGGGGGATTCCAGGAATGGATAGAGGCGAAGAGAGTTGATGAAATAGTTTCGCTGCACTAACGAGATAGATGGGAGTTCGTGATTGCGAGATTCAAAATATTACTTTGATGAAAGCATAAAGGGAACTCTGTGTTAATAACCATGTGTGTTTAATATAATAGCTTTTGAACCGGAATTTTAATTCAAGTGATTTTATTGTAATTTCTCTTGCTTCAGTAATTTTCAGTAATTTTAACGGTTCATTATATGTCTCATTGTTTTTATTCCTCTATAATAATAATAATAATATAAAATATATTTTATAATTTATTTCAGTATAATTTTTCTCGCTGAAAGTGCTATACATTTATCATTTTCATTGCAATATCAAAAGATTTTAATACATAAAAAAAGAAAAATTTTTACAAAAAAGGAAGGCATGAAGTATAAAAAGCTAAATTTGATAAATGACTCGAATGGGACAGATTAAGAGTGTCATGCCACGGTTTGACATCATTCGAGAAGCAGGGAGCAGTGTCAATTTAGCATAGGTAATCTCTCATTTACCGGGATAATCGGTAAATTTCCCAGGACGAGAAAATGGTGGTACGAGCAAGATGTTGGATGATGCATTCGTGTACACCTCTCGCCATAGAGATTGATGGATCCTATAGGGAAAGCCCGCAGGGCTATGAAGGTAATCAGGAGAAGAACGTTCCGAAGGGAGGCAAGGACGAGAAGCTCGTGAGGCTTTTACGACTTCCGGATGATCGGTCTTCAAGCTTGTTCCGATTTTAGGAAAGTCATTAGACCAAATATCAGCCTCTTCACCCGCCCCGACAAACATTCCATCGCGTATTTAATTTCCACTCTCGAATGCTTTTACATTTACGATTGTAAGTACTTGCGTTAGTTGTTTTAGGACTACCTTTATTAACGTTATAATTAAATTTTATACGAATTTAACTAACGATAATTCTGGCTCACAGCTTCGGTTATTACAGACAAAAAATAAATTTAATTAACTAATTACTAATATTGGTATTGGAAAATTATTATACAATTGTAAAATTATTTCTGACTCAGAATCACACTATAAATATATAAAATTCGAAGCGAGAATAAATTAATTCAGAACATGTATTTCAAATATAAAAAATATACATAAATATAAAGACTTTTCGATTATATAAATGAGATTAGATTAAATTAGCCATTTATGTCTTATTTTTGTCTTAAACATTGCAAGGTTTTACCGATATAACTTCAATATGAAATGTATTTAAAGTGCACAAATATTCGTAATCTCCAATAGTACAACTCAAAGTATAATTATCTGCGACATTTAAATTAATTAATTACTATCCAAATATAATTACGAATTACGAGAAAAAAACCAAAAGTGAGCCGAAATTAAATTCTGAATTGAAATCGAGATTAATTAAAACGTGCAGCGTTTCGACGAGACAAAGTTTCTCGCTGCACCGCATCGTATCTATTTGCACCGGATGAAATTACCTCCGAGAGCGCATCGTCTCATCCTGGGACAATGCTAACGCAAGCGTTGTACATACAAGCAAGACAAAAACACGCCTAATGGAATTAGATTCTCTCCGAGAGCTTCGGAGATATAAGGATTCTGTCTCGACGTCGCGAGAGAGTATGCGGACGGCGGCGAACGTCGAACGTGTGACTCACCTTAACAGTCTTCCCAGGGGATCCCTTTCCGGAGATGTGGGCCCACCGGGGCCACTTCCGGCGCCGAGTCTACGCGAGGACGCGCGCGCGTTCGATATGTATGCGGCCGGCGCGGGCGGCGGGCTGCAAGGCGGACAACAAACGGGGCTGCTGCCTCCCGGGGTCGAGAGGGTGTAACTCCTCTCCAGTTCCTGCAACAGACAAGACAGCGGTGGTTATGCAACAGCGAAACCACGAGCTCTCCGGAAGACACGGCCGAGTTATGTTCAGAGAATTGAGTTGCTCGAAGCGTCATACATATCTGTCCATAAATTCGGTAATATTCTGTAACTGCTAGCTTTGGAAAATTATACGTCGTCTTTGAAAATTAAAAGCTGAGAAAACCCATTCGATATTTTCAGACAGGCGTGCATTCTGAGATTAAGAATTACGTTGAATAGTTGGAACTGCGCGAGCAAACTCAGCAAACGAGTAGTCGTACGACCTTCCTTTGCAATGGAAGTGCGAGTTTGAGACGCGAGTAAGACCGGGACGAAGAATCGAATTTACGATTTCGAGAAGAGTCGTTCGTGAGAGCAAAGAAGCTCCCGGCTCCGTGCGAGCCGTTTGATCCTCGTCGTTTTCGGCGGTCTAGTTAAACCTGAAGATTAAGTTTCGGGAAATTTTCAAGCGATTTTGCGAGGTCGGGCTTTATCGTACGCGCGCGCTCCTTCACGCTGTTAACGGAACTCGGGAATTAAACTTCGAAACTGAACTAGACTCTTAAGATTTACGAGAAAACCGATGCTGTCCTGACGATGCCTCTCTTTTGAATTTAATTAATGCATCGTAACTAGTTTCAATTTTTCGATTATTGTTGCTAGAACATTTTATCATCTTAAAAATTTCTTACTCAGATACCAAGATAATCTATGAGTAATCATTTAACAATAGAATATAGAAATTTCAGTATTTTATAATTAAACAAGGTTTCAAATTTAATAATTTAAGATTTTTGCAAACTTATTTGAATAACATATTGCAAAGAGTCGATTCATTACATTCCATTTATTAATTATACGATTTTGTTTGCATACATTTTGTAAATCCCTCTTTATTTAATTTCGTGCACGATATTATGTGTGAAAAGCTCCGTTTATTAACGAGGATACGCGTCATTAAATTGGAATTTTCATAAAATCCAACAGACAGAATATAACTTTGATCGTGTAAGTTTATTGCAATGGGAGCAACTTTCGTTATTAACGCGCAACATTTAACTTTCTGACGGTGAGATCCGAGTAACATAGAAGCTTCTTTCCCGGTCGAGCTCCGCCGACAATTTCTAGGAATTTGCAGCAGGAGATCGCTGCTTGAAAGAGGATCGAAAAGTTTTCGAGTCGGCTAGCCTGCCTTTCTCTACGGTCGATCGGACGCGATTTAAGCTATCGATCGCTTGCAACTAATCAGTACCAAGCTACTAGTCGGATATATTCTCTTAATTGTCTAGTTATATACATCAATCTGCGCTTCCCGTTTAAACGGAAAAAGTGATTGAGAGCGAACTAAAATCAAAGTGACTGATCCGGAGAATAGTTCGTTTATTTACTTCAATAATTTCACTCAAATTCGTTTTGTTTCGTATATTCATGCAAAGATAATTTTTTTCAATAGATACCAATTTAACGAATAATTAATTAACGATATTCATAAATGCATTTACATTTGCAATGTAAAAAACATCTCAAAATTCGACATTTGGAAGAATTAATCTCATATATCATCCTCAGTTTTAAAAATATTTTTATAGATTTATTTTATTTTAAATATATTATGTTGTCTTTCAAACGTATTTCTTAATCAAAACATATTATGTAGAATCTGTAAATATTCATAAAATGAAAAATTTGAATAATTTCGATGAATAAAATTCCATCTTAATCGATCAACGTGAACGAATATTTTTTATATATTTACAATGTGTATAGAAATGCACTTTATTCGGACGTAAGCGGAAGACAAGAAGACAGAGCTTGACGATTAAGCCTTGATAATCGCATTATTCTCGGATATTAATTCTGCTCGAAGGTAAAGCTGCCTGTAACGACCTTCACCGAGCCGCGATGTTAATTGATAAAATGAAATAACGAACAAAGTAGAGATCTCTGTCTCTCTCTCTTTTTCCTCACTCAAGAATCCCATTAAGTCCTTGAAAACGGTAGAACTTTTGCAATCCGATTACAAGGATAATAGTACGTCTTTATTAACGTGCCTTACTGCCTTTCTTTATGTATTCCGTTCTATCCACTTTATGTCCACTATATACGTAAGACCCATTCTACCGGAAGCAGATTTATCTATCCCAGGACCCCCAAGCTCGTTAAAAATTTTATATTATTCGCGTATCTTATAGTGCTATTTATTTCAAATCGGATTTATTAGTCGAATCTTTGCGTGTGTGTGGTTTTCAATCTGAAACATACCTGTCCAACTTCGTCGAGCGGAAGTCTTTTCATCGGCAACCACTCACACTGACGTATTTTTAACAACTGACTCAACAACAACTCTATAGCGCGATAACTTAACAAAATAAAACAAACAGCTTCGATTCACATCGTATCTTGCAATTAACTCCAGAGTTTACATTGTATCATCGGCAGTTATCACCCTGAAGCGCATCGTCAGAATTTCCTGGCATCCCCAACTATGCAGGGAAGCAAGAGAGGGATGAGTTTTCTTCCTTGAACACAAGCGGCTGTACGTCTAAAGCGGCGCGCACAATGCCCGTCGAATACCGCAAAACTATAATACTGGAACAGCATGAACGATGGCTCTAACGATCGAATAGCAAAAGAAGGGGCGGAAAGGACGATCCGCGAGAATGAGAATGAATACCGGCATTAATTCGAGATAATTGCTGCCACAGTGGAAGTGACAAAGGGTAGTCTTTCACATTTTTGACACAGGCACGCGCTCTCTCGCGGGCGGACAAAGGGCCGTTTCGCCATTTCGTCCTTTCACCGTTCCGTCGTCGGCGCGCTCGGTGAGGGGAAAATTACGCATCTTCGTTCTCGTTAGTGCGCGAGATTACAAGTAACCGTCGAAATTACGCGAACGACGGCGAAGATAGCTCGCGACGAAATGGCGCATTCTTCGCATGCACACCGGCACCTGTATGCGCGCGCGGCAACGAATGGAATTCACGGCGCAATTATCCGCCGGTTACATTAGCCGTTGCTCCAACGACGGTAACGAGCGCAGGTAAATTTTTCGGCTGCATCTAATAAAGTCATTACTATCTAATTAAGCGCGCGGGTCCATTACGAGAGCGATTTAAAGCTCGCCGGCACTCGACTTTACGGCATAATGCCTAATAATTCTTTATATCTTCGCTGGGATGCCCGCTAAAACGCCCCAGAGTCGCGTTTAATTCGAGATAATTTAAGAGCACGAATTTTTTCTCGCTCCGATATTAGCATATTTATTATTCTAAGTTTCGTAACATGTAAATATTGTCTGCAAAACTAAAATGTAAAGAAAACCAGATAACGTAAAGAAGGAATATATAAAGTATACCGTAATAAAGTGATATTAAAGATATAATATCCATTTAGAAAAATAATATTTTTATTTGTAGCAAATAATTAAATTCATTTCGTTTCCTTTAAGAAGTAACGTACTTTACAAATATTAGCAATATAATATTAAAAGAGATCTCAATTTCATCTGTTGTTATTTAATCATTTCAAATATTTTAACTTAATATTCCACTTCTAGTGGAAACCTATTCGCCTTTCTCTGCTTCTCTTAATATACGTATTGATTAAATAATGTAGCATTCGTTTATCTGCATTCGTGGATTTCGGTCCTCATTTGCATCTAGAGCAATGATACATAATGCATGCTGATTCGTTTAATTAATTAATCAGTTTTGTCGAATTCATTGATTCATTCATCGCCAATATGCTCATATAGAATGTCGCGACTAAGTTCTGCCGCGTACTCAGTACTTACGCCGCGTGTCCCGACATGGAATATATACATCGCGTTTCGAATAATCGATGAGAGCATATTCATAAAAGCATTAGCCCAGCCGCTTGATAGATAATGCCGGCGCGGAGGTATGCGTAATTGAAACCGGGCAATTAGTAAAACGTGCCCGGCATATTTCGCATAAGCAGACGTACAGTGCGCTTCGAAGATATATCGCGCCGCAATTAACACGTAATTGTGATAAATCAAAGACTAACCCGTTGACGAATAACTAAAGAACTGATTGATTCGTATTTTCCATACAAGATGTCCCACATAATCACCGATTTCAATGGAGAAATGTTTTCACAAATCTGGTGCAAATTTTTCTTTGCTTTGCTTGCGACTCGCTAATTACTTTTCAATTTTAATTTACTAAAATCTTGAGTTTTTACTGAGTAAAGTAAATTGTAATTATAAACTAAGAAACGTTTCTTTTGAATGGTACTTTTTTATCATATTCCAGTGATATGAGCAATAACGTTTCACAGTTACAACTCGCAGCGCTGTATATTGAATTATGGTATTAATTAAAAATATGACAAAGTGCGAACAATAGCTATGTAGGGTAGAAAAAGATTCGTCTCATAATTAAAAACCCGTTTGTTACAAAATGAAATACGCAGAACTGAATGACAGCGTAATAAAAATGTTCTCGCTGGATTGAGTCACGCGATATAAATTCGCAATATGGTTATCATGCTGCCATAACACACGATCGGAAAGTATATGCATTTATCGCGATAATCAATATGACGAAATAATTATCGTGTTTTATCGACATGTAATTGTCGAAATATAGGAATACGGAATTTTATACAATAAAAATGAAATCTGCGTACAGGGAATTGTTGTTTTTATCAAATGGGTACAGCAAAATTTTTGAAATTATAATATCAAACATAGATTTTGAATCAAAATGTAAAATAAATAAGTGTAATATAAATATAATTTCAATGATATTTCAAATTTCTTATTACAAAATCACGTGAAGATATTTTGGCAATTGTACCGTTTTCCCATAAAAATCGTGCGGGGTCCTTTACATTATCGCAAAAAATTAGTTCCGCGTTATTTTTTCTTTATATTTTATCTGTTTTTGAAAAAGTAATTTATCATAATAATCAAATTCGTTAATTTCAACAAAATCGATATGCAAATAACAAAACTTGCAAATTAA